GTAGTTCTGATGTCACAAATAAAATGGCAAGGGATTCACTTGTGAAATGAACTACGACCTCTAGGTAACTATTCTGGTATTTTTAGGCCTCGATTACCACCCGAATCACTTACGAAGAATTAATTCTGAAGGCAAAGGAATGAAGTTTTCGGAATTGGTTTCAAATTTTCTTATGCAAAACCGGCGAACCTCGTATTAATTAAGACATTGAATCAAGCTGGCTTTTATCACTTATTTCGAGTTTCATTTGTATTATCGTATATCTAAAATATCTGACTAGAAACATTGGAAAATGTAGCTCTTAGTATGTTCATAATCAATCCGAAGAACATTTTTTCACATCATCATAAAGCAGTGCAATTAGGCTTGCTTGTAGCACCTCTGCATGCTATTTTGCAGGTACAATAAATCATGGATGGGCTATATATAACACCTTCTGAATGAATTAATTAATTTATAGCACGTGTCTATTGTTGGCCAAAGTTGTCCATTTTAGCAAATGATAAATTGTCTTTTCTTTACAACAACATTCAATTGAGTTGGGCAATGTGTAGACCTCCGACCTGTTCTCATTGGCCGACTGATGCAGTTTGAGATGTGATTGCGAAAGTGACGTTTGTTAGAGGGCCCATGATTTGCATGAAAACAAACGCTTTCTTGCATTCAAATCAAATTCATTAACATTTAGGCTGTGGATATTGACCCGGCAAAAGTTTTGATTAATGAGAGCGCACTCCAACCCTAACTTTACGAGCAGGCTAAAAAATAAATAAATAAATAACTAACCAAAAAAAAAAAGAAATGTTTTTTTTTTGTTTAAATGTATTTTCTAAAACACTATAGAAGGAGTGTGTGAACGGATGAAAGATACTACTTTTTTTTTTCCTTTTTTTTTTTTTTTTTGGGGTGTTGCGTACATTGTTTGGGACCTGTAAGGAGTTTACAATCGTGGCTACCAGATGTGTATCTATATGCCTGTTAATATATCATCTATATTGCGCTTGTTGATATAAAATAGAATGTTAATACTATTATGACAACTAAAGCAGCCCTGTCTGTGTGTGTTGCTTACTGTCTGATTCACTACCAGGGTTGGCGTTAAATTGCAGCCTCTGCGCTTGGGGAGGGGCAGCCAAAGTTCCGTAACCAGTTGAGGTCCAATGAGTAGGTCACTTTACTTATACTTTACACTGCAAGTAATAAACTTTTACTTGTAGTGTGGTGGAACTAGCAACTAAATGGGATGGGCAGAGTGAAGGGTATTAAGCCGTCGTGCAGACATGAGCCCTTCCACCCCCGGTTTGAATTGTTTTTTTGTTTTTTTTGGTTTTTTTTCGGTGGAGGGGTAATTGGATATATAACGTCTCGCAATAACTTTAAATAGCCCAAAATTCTTTTTTTTAATCAATAAAACACAATTAATGCTCTACTTTTATATGTCTCAATACATTGTTATTGCTTTTTATTGTGAAGATAAACAACGCTGGCATCGCTAAATCCAGAAATCTTAAAATAAGTACAATGGAAATGTTTGATACCACCATGGATGTTAACGTGAGGGCGGTGTTCTACCTGACTCAACTGGTGTCGCCACATCTAATAAAAACAAAAGGTAAAGTAACGTAATAATTGTCAAAACAATTTACATGAGATCATTATTTATATTATTATTATTATTATTATTATTATTATTATTATTATTATTATTATTATTATTATTATTATTATTATTATTATTATTATTATTATAATTATTATTATTATTATTATTATTAATAATAATAATAATGATAATAATAATAATAATAATAATAATAATAATAATAATAATAATAATAATAATAATAATAATAATAATAATAATAATAATAATAATAATAATAATAATAATAATAATAATAATAATAATAATATTTATCAAATATGTTTGGTTTTCAGGAACTATTGTGAATGTTTCAAGCGTCGTAAGCAAAATACCGGTAAGGGTTTACTGATAAAATAGCACTTACACTCATAGAAGATAGACCTTCCTCTGTGATAGGAGGTGGGTATACTGACTTCGGCGTTACTTAGGGCATGCTCTCCATAGGGGTAGGAGCTTGCAAAGCTTTGAAGCTGGGTAGAGAGAGAGGCATCACATGTAAACAATATTATTCCTTTGCGCTTTGAAAGACTAGGGTTAGTAACATGAATTGGTGGAGGTTTTAAACTGGCAGCACAGTTTATGATAGATCTTTGGGTTACCCAGGGAATAGTTCGCTGTTCCCCGAGTTACCGCATTATTAAGAAATGCTTCAGTCACTAATTCGACCACAACTACTTTACCTGTCACGGTATAAATTGCCTATAAAGAAAACACTTATTTTCAAGTTCTGTAGAAATCCCATTGAATATAATAATATTAATACTTTCGAATCTCTGATTCTGTTTTTCTTTTTAAGTGTAAACGTTAAATTAATATTTTCAGAATTCTCTCTCATGTAATGCTTTCATTTTTCAGAGCTGTAATACTTTTTACAGCATTTCAAAATACATGGTAGATCAGCTAACAACAAACGCAGCTGTTGGTAAGCAAGTTTAACCTGTATATAAGTCAATCTGACTAATGTGGTAGTGTGATTAGTCTCACTGTTGAACGTACTGTTAATGAATAATTTCTATAATATACTTATTACTATCATCATCATTATCATCATCATCATCATCATTAACGTCGTCATCGTCATAATCATCATTATCATAAGCATTATTAACATTGCTTTCGTCATGTTAATATCACTATTATAATCTGACGGTTCTTATGATTATTTTTTTTTAGAATTAGCACCGTATGGAGTTCGAGTGAACTCTGTTTGGTAAGTTACACTTTTGAACTATGTTTAATCTTAAACCGGGCACCGGGTTTGCTTTTAGCAACTGATGTTTCCACT